ACTGTACTCTCATCCCCAGGTACCCCTGAACCACCTCCCTCTCTTCCTTAGACATTCTTTCCTTGATCTCCAGTTTCTAGCTGCTGAGATGTTTGGGAGCTGAGGAGTTCCTTGTGCACCTTTTCTGCCAGGGAGGGTGGAATAAGAACGGTGTCAGTCCCCTGAGCTCCCAGCTCATCCCAGCTGCACCTTCCAGAAGTTTCCACTCCATCCCCTCTGGAGAGCTCTGTCAGACTGAAACCATTTTCATTTCACTCCAACTGCCCCTGCCTGGAGGAGCTGGGGAAAGTTCTACCAGCTGTACACCCATTTTACTGGTTTTACCTTTCTTTTCTCTGATCATCAGTCTGTCAAGGCTATCGAGATTTACATTTAAATGTAAAACTGGACTGTCCACCAAACAGCCTTTGAAGCTATTAGCTGTGAAAGATAATCAATTTGGAATGGGCCCCTGCAGAGCACTTTTCAAGCCAAGTCATCACCAAAAAGCAATTTTGCTGGCAGGCTTTTTTTTTTTTTAAAGGAAAAAATCATGAACATCCCCAGCCAATTAAAGTTCTATCAATGGCTGATCTCCATGATTTTACAACAACAGCAAAATTTAACATTGTTAAAGGCAAAGTGAATCACAGGATGAATCCTGAACTTTTTAGGAGGCACTAAGCAGCAAGGATTGGTCAGTTTTAATAATGCCCCAGCAATTTTATGTGCTTTGAGAACCAGAATGATCCAATGTGCCCAGAGACAAGGAAGAGTGCTGCTATTTAAGCTAATAAGTCTTACATCAGTCTTGTAAAAATTTAAACCCTAGGTACATTTTTATCACCTCTTCAGCTTTACAACTCTAACATGGCATCTCACATTGCTGTTTTGTTAAAACTGTGTCACCATTTGTAGTCCCCTTTATTAGAATAAAAAAGCATGTTTCACAAAGGACTTTAATCTATTAATTATGACTGCTATGCATTATGCAGCTGAGCTTTATGCATTCCTGTTCTTTCAGATTTTCCTCTGGGCCATCAGGAGATGTGACTATCTGCAGGATCTAGCTGGGAATTTGCATCTCGCTCATCACTGAGGTATCCAAGTTATTCCCATCCTCACATTATCCTTCCAGGGCACCTTCTCCAGGTGGGGAATCCAGCAGCACAGCTCCAGTGCAAATACTGACAGAACTGATCTAGCCTGTACTGATATTACTGATAGAATAATCGATGATGGCCAAAGGCAGGAGGTGCAGACACACTTGGGGAGGAGGAAGCTGTGCTCTGTGCTAGGAGAAGGGGTGGGCTGGATTTTCTCTTTCAGTCTGACATTTAGAAAGCACAAAAACAAGCACCAGGCGGAGGGAGGTGAGGGCTCAGGGCTGGCCTTGCTCTGCCTCTGCTGGCCCAGGGCTTGGCCAGCAAGAGGATGGAAAAATGTCTGACAGCTCAGGGCAGCAGGATCCAGGGCCAGCCTTTATTTCAAACGCTGCCAGCACAGACAGCACAAAGATTTATCAGCTGTCCTTCACTTTGGAAGACATCAATGGGAAACTCAAGCTGAAAACCTTGGAGGTTTCTCCACAGCTTTTTTAGGTGTCTCACATCCGGATTGATAAACTGGAAGACATTGGTAACAGCTTGCTTCACCCAGCAGCACAAGAAGCAGAAAAGCATCAGTGTGTCTTTAAAATAAAACCCAACCAAAACACACCAACCAAATTAAAATATCTTAAAACACTCTCTGGGCCCTCAGTTAATTATTTCCCAGATCATGTTCAACTTTTACCTACAAAATGCAGCCACTCTCACTAACCAAGAGCTTTCACTTTCAGAATTAAAGGTAAGTTTACACAAGGTCTGATTCGAGGAACTTGGACACCTCTGTCAAAGCTGTCTGCAGTAAATGATAATTCCTGGTTTTAGAGAGGCAAACACAGCTCCCGAGGCTTGTGGAACAAATTGGCTGGTCCCACAGGTTACAGAATCCAGTGCCACTCCAGCAGCAGACCCTGAACACGAGGCTGTTGGACACAGCTTGTAAAAAATCCACCTCTGCTTTGCCATGGATGTTTTTCCTTCCCTACAACATTGTGAAGCCTCTAAAGACAGCCATGTAACCAAACACTGGATGTTTTATGAGTCCTTCTCCATGTCCAGCAACTGCAATAAAGACAAAGGCAGAACTGGATACCTGAGCGACAGAGAAAAGAAAGCTTTTCCTGCCACAGACTTTTAATTCACGCTGATACCTGAGACATCATTTCCTCAGGTCACTATAGAAACCTTTATCACCTCATGAAAGGTCATTGGGTAAGTGACAGCAGACATCAGTTTCTCATAACAATATTGGTTTCCCTTCTTAAAATTTAAATAACAAGGCTAAAGATTTTCCAGCTGGAGATGTAAAAAGCCATTAGAGTGGCCAGTCAATATTCCTGAAATTATAGGATAGAGCTCTTGCCACTGAGGACACAGAAAATATTTTTGCAGTCACCAGAGCAGCACAGTGCAAAAAGGATGACTGACTATAATAAATAAAGAATCAGAAATACAGAATAAAGGTATCTAAAGTTTTAAAAAAACTAAGCGTTTCCCCAGTTTTTTGTATTGTAGAGAAAAAATGTCTTGGCATGTCTCTGACATTTCAAACCCTGCAACAGAAGGTTCTTTCCAGTGCAGTCAGATGACAGCATTAATAAATAGCTCATTAACAAAATGATTGGGAAATATTTTGATTACAATTTTTCAATTGCAAGCCCCACATGTATTCAATAAAAGTTTGGTTTTCTCCCAGTTCCCAAAGGAGCCAGCCTTGGGCCAAGTCCTGCTGCTTTTAGGCCTCATGTGAGGTGAGAACTTGATCCCATCCACTCATCCAGGAGCGCTTCCTGGGGAATATCCAGGAATCCCTGTGCATGGGACAACTTGAGGCTGGTTTGGAGCAGTAATCTCCCATTTTAATGCAAATAGCAGCTAAAGTTTTTATCAAAATCACGTAAAAGATACAGCACCACTGATAAAGTTTAATCCAGTGCTGTTCAAACCCCACTGGGGCCAGTCAGAACCAGCCTCCCCAAAACACAGTCAAAGGTGTCCAAACACATTTTTCTTCAGCTTTTTTTCCTGTTGTGTACTCCTGCCTCACAAAAGCAGAGGAGAAAACCACATTTCAGCAGGTCTGGTGGAGGATCAGCTCATGTGGAACTGGGTCTGGCTTTAAAAAGCAGCGTCAGGGACAGCAACAAACCCCAAAGGGCTGGGAAGGCCCAAGGGCTGGGGCTGGTTTATTGGAAATGCACACAGGTTCTGCACTCTGCCTGCCCAGTCTAACCTCAGACCTCTGGGCAGGCACAAGTCCATCCCCAGAGGAGGGAGGCTGTGACACACCATAAACTCACACCTGGGACACAAGGGGGAAACTGGGAAAGAGCCTGTGCTGAGAGCAGAGCCTGCCTGGGCTGTGCTGGGTGGGATATCCAGATATTCCCTCGGGGAGCCTGGGCTGTGCTGGGTGGGATATCCACATTTTCCCTTCCCTCTGGGAGCCAGGGCTGTGCTGGGTGGGATATCCAGATATTCCCTCTGGGAGCCAGGGCAAGAGACACTTGTTCTGAATTAGCAGGCTCCTCCTGGGATGGCTCTGCTGATAACATGAAGAATGTATGAAGAGATTAAAACAACCTGCTCCTGCCAGCTCCAAAACACACAGACCATCACTGCCATACCCAGAAACCAAGCTAGAATATTAGAAGGGCAAACAGAAAAGAAATTGCCCCGCTGTGAGCCTTGGTTATCAGCTGTTGCTTGTCTCAGGGGAGGAAGAAGGCTCTAGATCACTGGCATGGTGCAGTCAGCAGAACAAGGTGGAAGCTGCAGCAAGCCCTGTGTGTTCATTCACACCATCCTGTTATCTTTCCTGTTTATCTCGGAGGCCCAGCACCAAGGTGAGGCTTGGCAGTATGCCAGATCTGCTGGTTTCCTACTCGAGAAGGTTCTCGAGGCTTTCTGAGCAGCTGCAGAAACAGAGCTGTGGCACTGGACTGCAGGTGACTCCTGGCCAGGGCCAGCACACATAAACTCTGTTATTAAACTCGATTATTCAAACCAGCAGCTCTGCCAAAATCCCTCGGGTTTTATCATTCTGGTGGTGCCCGACAGTTCTACAGCTGGGAACCACCAACAGGTAAAATTAATTAACAGGGAGCAAAACATTATCAATTTAACATGAATTGTGAGGTGATGTTTTGGCCACAGATCTGCCTCTTGTAGAAAACTTTGGGCATTTCTTTATATCTACAGCTTTTTCTTTAAGGTGACAGTGAGATTTTTACAGCCGAGTTTTTGTTATCATCTTAAAAAACTGGATTTTGAAATGTTTTTACAGGGAAGTTTTAAACAGGAAGGATCATCCAGGAGGCAGAGCACACTCCAAAGCTTCCCTGGGCCTCTGGCACCACCTATGGATGACACTGGGAGCCGAGGATGGGGAAATTCATTGCTTTTAGCTTGTGGTACCTTTGCACAGGCAATTCCACAGTTCAAAATACAGCCTGGAATTCTTTCATCAGAGAAATGTCCATAAAAAATTATAAATTATATATATTATATATATATATAAAAATATATATAATATTTAAAATAAATTTTAACATAAATTTAATATATATTATATATTAATATATTATAGTAACCATTAATAAAATAAATATAAAATAAATAAAATGAATAAATTATATTTACAATTTAATTATTTTCATATATTTATATATTTAAAGTATAAAATTAAATATTTATTATAACTATATAAATATTTATAATATTATTATAAATATAATTACCATCTCCTTGTGATCCAACCTGAATTTCTGCTGGAGTGACAGACCTTAGATTAGATTTTTTTTAATTTTAAATTAAATTCAATCTTTAATGTGAAAAGAACACCCAAACTGTAGTGCACTTTTAACACCCATGCAACTCCCAACAGGCAGCATGAAAATAAAAACAGAAGGTAAGTAGTGTTTGTAAAAAATATATTTCCAGTTGTTTTAAATTCACAGGCACCTCTGACAGCCATCACCATGCCAGAGATGATTTGTGTTGTTGCTAAACAAAGTTAGTTACTACTGAGAGAGGGACAACTTTCTTTTGCTTTCTAAAAACAACCACCTGGTCTCTGCACAAACATCTCAAGTGCCAGGTGCCACCAATTTCTCCAGGCACTGAGCACAGCCCCTCGGAGCTCACCTGGGCTGGAGCAGAGCCAGCAGGGCTCCCTTAGGGCTCCGGGGGCACACTGAGCACAGGACTGACACCTCACTTATCCAACCTCCACAATGGCTCAGAGATCCTCTTGTGTGTGCACCAAACAATTCAGCACAAGGTGAGGATTTCTGCTTTCACAAGAGCCATGCTCGGGGATGCCACTGCCTGGGGACACTGGTGACAGCTGCTTGGATTTTCCAAGGAGCAGAGACCGATTGCAACGGAGGCACAGAAATACAAACACACCCTCCTCACACACACAAGATGCTTCAGTGTACAGACAAACACAGCATGGAAGTGGAAGGTATTTGGCTCTGGAGGACAAATCCTGCACTCAGTCGTGTCCTGTGCATTCCCCAGGCTCAGCAGTGCCCCAGGAGAGAACAGTGTCCAGAGCATCCCGTGCCTAATCAGGGATGGAGTCCGCAGGACACAGCAGGGCCGTGTGGGCCCCGCTCTGGATGATGGAATAGGTCTGCTTGGGGCCCTCGCTGTGGGAAGAGGACGAGAAGATGGGAGGAGGAGGAGCAGCCGTGGACACGGTGATGCTCTGTCCCCCGTCACTGACCACGGTCACCTCGGTGGCTCCCTCCTGGATGAGGGCGTTGAGCCCCTCCAGGTCGGAGCAGCTGATGGCGGAGCTGGCGATGAAGGCCTGCCCGGGGGGTGGCTCGGGGGCGGCGGCGGGCAGCAGGGCCTGGTGCAGAGCGCTGCCCTCGCCCTGCTCG